TTTGTATTTATATAGTTTGTTAGTCACCAAAGTGGCCAAACTAAAATGGATAAAATTATTCACATGCACAAAATTTTATGATATTTTGTGTGCATTTGTATTTATATAGTTTGTTAGTCACCAAAGTGGCCAAACTAGTATGGTTAAGAAGAATGTGCATTCATAAAATTGTCATTTATCTATGAAAGTTAATGTAATGCCTATATTGAAAATAAATAGATAAATTTACTTTCACTATTGCTAGAACTTAAGAATTTACTCAAAGGTGCATTAATCATTTTACGAATAGTGAACATTATGAGGTAAATTAATATTTTCAATCAAAGATATATTGTATATCCAAAAATGTCGTATATGTTTGGTTAAATATATTTAATTTCCTATTAAAGATTTAAAAAATGGCATTTAAATTATGATAGTGTGTCATAGTATCTACCCAAAGGAGAATTACGATGTACTTTTATCGTTTTACTAAATTCACATTATTTTTTATTTGTGAGCATGTATATCTATTTGTAGTTATTCCTTTTCATTCATATGCTTTGTCTGTTACTGTGTTCAATGGATTGAACTTCTCTGAATGGCACGAACAAGTAGTTTCACTTAGGTATGATGGAACTTGACTTGGCTCTACTGAATGATAAACCTACTGTCATTACTTATAAGAGCAGTGAGAATGAGAAGTTTTTCCATAAATCATAGGAGCGCTCTAACAGATTGAGTCTTATGTTCATGCGAATGATTGTTGCTAACAACATTGAGAGTACTATTCCACAAACAGAAAGTGCCAGGGAATACCTGAAGTTTTTGGAAGAACATTTTCATTCTGTTGATAAGTCTCTCGCTGGTACACTAACGACTGAACTCACGACCATGAAGTTTGATGGGTCGCGCAGTATGCAAAATCATATCATCGAGATGACTAACATTGCAGCAAGACTTTCGACCTTGGGGATGAAAGTGGATGACACCTTCTTGGTTCAGTTTATTCTGAACTCATTACCTTTTTAGTATGGACCATTCCAAATAACAATAACACTATTAAGGATAAGTGGGATGTTAGTGAATTGTCCAGTATGCTTACTCAAGAGGAGTCAAGACTTAAGAAATAAGGAGGTCATTTCATTAACCTCATGGGTCAAGGAGCTGGTAAAGGACTTAAAGTGAAGGTCAACAAGTTTTTTTTTTTAAAAAACACCTGCTAAAGTTCCACAGGATGCTCATAAGGAACTCAAGGCCGATGTGTGTCGATCCTGTAGAAAGGAAGGACACTTTCACTAAATGAAAGTTCTGCTTATTTGTGGCATAAATGTTTGGGTCATATATCCAAAGAAAGATTAAAAAAGATTAGTAAAGAATGAGATTCTTCCGAATCTGAATTTTTATTGATCTTGATATAATGTTTGGATTGCATTAAAGGAAAGCAAACCAAGCATACCAAGAAAGGTGCCACAAGGAGCACTCAGTTTCTTGTAATTATACACACTAATATTTTCGGACCCTTTGATGTTCCATATTTTTGTGGATAAAAATATATTATCACCTTTATCGATGATTTTTCACGTTATTTATTTATCTATTTGTTGAAAGAAAAATCTCAAGCAGTGAATGCCCTCAAAGTGTATGTTAATGAGGTTGAAAGACAATAAGATAAAAGTGAAAATCATTAGGTCAGATAGAGGTGGTGAATGTTATGGAAAGTATGACGAATCAGGATAATGTCCATGTCCATTTGCAAAATTCCTCGAAGAAGATGGCATATGTGAACAGTATACTATGCCAGGAACACCTCAACAAAATAGTGTTGCTGAAAGGCGTAATCGAATACATATAGATATGGTTAGGAGTATGATGAGTAATTCCTCATTACCCAAATCATTGTGGATGTATGCTCTTAAAACCGTTGTATATTTATTAAACAAAATTCCTAGTAAGGCAGTTTTAAAGACCCTTTTTGAACTGTGGACGGGAAGGAAGCCTAGTTTAAGACACCTGCATGTTTGGGGTTGTCAAGTGAAAGCTAGAGTTTATAATCCACATGAAAAGAAATTAGATTCTCGAACGGTAAGTGGTTACTTTATTGGCTATCCAGAGAAATCTAAAGGGTACAGGTTTTACTGTCCAAATCATAGTTTGAGAATTGTTGAAACCGGTAATGCAAAATTCATTAAGAATGGTGAAGTTAGTAGGAGTGTTGAACGTCAAAGTGTGAAAATCAATGAGGTAAGGGTAAATATTTCATTGCCCATGAATGTACCTACTTCCACACCAATAACAAATGGTGTTCCTCTTGTTGAAGAGCACTTTAACAATGTTGAGCAATATCTGGGTGAAACACTTCAAGAAGGAACTAACTCACAAGTATCTGACGCAAATGAACCACAAACAGTGTCATTAAGAAAATCTCAAAGAGAAAGAAAATCGGCCATTTCAGATGATTATGTGATTTATTTGCAAGAGTCGGATTTTGACATTGAAATTAATAAAGATTTGGTTTTATTTTCACAGGCCATAGAAAGCACTGAGTCTGATAAATGGATTGATGCCATGAATGAAGAGTTAAAATTCATGGAATACAACAAAGTTTGGGATCTTGTTCAATTACCAGAAAGTTCTAAAAGAATCAGATGTAGATGGGTCTTCAAGACCAAACGCGGTTCTAATGGTAATATTGAACGATATAAAGCCAGACTTGTTGCCAAGTGATACACTCAAAAAGGAGGCATTGATTATAAAGAGACCTTTTCACCGGTCTCAAAGAAAAACTCATTAAGAATTGTTTTGGCTTTGGTAGCTCATTATGATTTAGAGTTACATCAAATGGATGTGAAAACTGCCTTTCTTAATGGAGACCTCGAGGAGGATGTTTGTATGGACCAACCAGAGCATTTCAAAATTAAAGGAAAAGATTAAATGGTGTGTAAGCTAAAGAAGTCAATATATGGACTCAAACAAGCCTCACGACAATGGTATATAAAGTTTAATGATACCATAACATCTTTTGGATTTAAGGAAATTACCGTTGATTGGTGCATATACCAAAAGATCAGTGGGAGTAAGTTTATATTTTTAGTCCTGTATGTTGATGACATTTTACTTGTTGTTAATGATTTAGGCATATTGCGTGAGATGAAAGATTTTCTCTCTATGAACTTTGAAATGAAAGATATGGGTGATGCAGCCTATGTGATAGGGATAAAAATATTTCGTGATAGATCACAATGATTATTGGGACTGTCTCAAAAAGGTTATATCGAAAGAGTTCTAGAGAGATTTAACATGAGCAATTAAGAATAGTTCCTATTCAAAAAATTGGGACACATTTAATCTCATGCAATGCCCAAAGAATGATGTAGAACGAAAAGAAATGAAATCAATTCCTTCATCTTCTCTTGTTGAAAGTTTGATGTATGTTCAAACTTGCACAAGATCGGATATTAGTTTTGCGGTCGGAATGCTAGGAAGATATCAAAGTAATCCTGGAATGGATTAATGAAAAACTGCAAATAAAGTTTGTGGCATGTTATGAAGCCACAATTCATGCATTATGGTTGCGGAACTTCATTTCAGGACTTGGGGTTGTCGACACCATTACCAAGCTGCTGAAAATTTATTGTGATAATGCTGTAGCAGTATTCTTCTCCAAGAACGATAGGTACTCCAAATGTGCCAAAACATATGGAATTAAAATACTTTATTGTTAAGGAAGAAGTTCAGAAACAAAGAGTGTTACTTGAGAATATTAGAATTGATCTCATGATTGCAGATCCGTTAACAAAAGGCTTACAACCAAAGATATTTAAAGATTATGTTCAAATAATGGGTCTTGGTTGTACTTATGATTGATACATTTTATGATGTTTTTACTACTCTGAGCTCATATTATGTGTTTCTGTATGTACATTAATGAATTTCTTTGTTTCTTCATAATGGTGTATACATTATTGTTTTGAGATATTCCAAGATAAGTCTCTATGAGACATTATTGTGGACCATAATGTTATATGTTTTATAGCTTATGAACCTAGTATGATAAGTTGCTAATGTAGTAGTATATGGAAGGAAGTATGTAGCTTAAAAATTTATGTACAACCGCCATAACTCGCATTAGTAGTTTGTTATATTGTGGTATGTATGATGGACATTATAGAAGAGATTTATCATACACGCAACTAATGTTTATGAAATATTAATGTTATATGGTCATTGGGCCAAGTGGGAGAATGTAAAAATTATTATTAAGTATTTCTTACTTATGGCCCAAGTTTACTTGTAACCCAAGTAATACCATACATAATATTTAATAAGGAATAAATCTCATCTGTACATTGGTTACATGATGGACGTACTAGATTACGTCATAACCTCTATAAATTGGTCCTTCCTCCACTCATTAGGGTTACCACATATTCTCTACATTGATTCCATCGTTGATGATTGTGGTAACATAAAGTTAGGGCAAGGAGTATGACTAACGCTTCCGCTTCTCTCTGTGATGATGTCTTCCGCATCAAGTATGTGCACCTAACAATCTCTATGTAAGATTATCGTGTTCAAGATCCTAAAAGTATTTAATCTTACAATTACATGGTCGCAGCTTCTTTCTAACAAAGGTTTTATGGAAATATTTTTAGTTCACTTCTGATTCTTATTTTAATCCTAATATTGTGAAGCTTTTTCATATTTGTGTAAATTCTATGAGATCACATTTTTTTTGTTTGTTATGCAAAAGGGAAAAGTATTTTTTTCATTGTGTTTAATTTTATTAGAACACACACGTGCAACACACGTTTTCAGAGACTAATTTTATCATAACGGTCAAATTACTTTGTCAATAATTTTCAGAATATATTCCTTATGTATGACATCTAGCTATAGCAATTAAAAAATATCTGGAAAACACCGTTTTAAAAAACTTTTTGTATAGTATTATCACAATAAAAGAAATGCCATAAATTTCTTTATGTGATTATTATTATAATAGAGAAGAATCCAAAGCAATCGTAACTGCACCAATGATAGTGCAACTTAATTATTCTAGGGGACAACACTCATGAAGCTTTGAAATCCAACATACTAAAGGAATAAGAAACATGTAACAAAAATATATACATTATTGACTAAAGAGTAATTATTGAACAAAAAACCTTAAAAATATCAATACAGTATATATATATATATATATATA